TCTCTCTCTCTCTCTCTCTCTCTCTCTCTATTAGAACTCTTCTTCACAGTCCGGCGACAACTCATACAGTGGTGCGCTTTACCTTAAACCCCCGGCTGAGCGTTTCCATCTCGGCCAACAAACGTCATTATATAAGTTGTATTATTTTTTCTTTATTGCCTCCAAAGATGAAGATTACAAAGTAATGTGGAACATATATACAAAGTATTTGGTACATATATACACGATTACATAATATGCATTACATAAATATACACTTTATATATAGGGATGTGTATATACAGTTTAAATTAATAGAATATTTTCAATGTATCGTTGTATTTGTAAATACATGCAATAAAGACATTTATTGTATTATACAAACTATAAACGCGGAGGATACATTTGTGGGTCTGGATCACACAAGGGTGGGGGATATCCCCACCTGCGAGGTGTTACGGGCCCACACATGTATACTCCCATGCATCTTAATATGTAGTATAGTTCATATAGTATCTCATGTGATATATTTTGCTAAATGCAACTTATACAAAATTCTACATCAGATATGTATGTATTTAACTTTTAATCATAACTGTTATATACATTAAGTATAATATAGTTTACACATCTTGTACACATAAATGATGGATTTTATCCAGTATCATTCAACTCTTCTTCACTAATTTTGTAGTTTATATTTCCTCCAATCATTACGTGTAATATCTCAAGATCTGGGAGAGAGTGTAAATAGACACTAAACAGTATATCCTTGATATTAATTATACAGCACCATAGTTGGTCCCTCAACTCGGACGTATAAGTACACTGTAGCACTAGATGTGTCATTGGGGCTTGATATAAAACCCCACATTTATGACATAATTCCATGGTAATCAGGCTACGGATGGTTACAACTATTGTCATTATATATTGTATATATTCTCTGTATTGAGGAAATCGAAGCGCTAGCTTCCATAAAGTATCAGGTTTGAGTTGGTTATGTAGTTCTCGAAAACATGTAAAATCATTCTCAACTTTCATACGTTCTTTCGAAAGATTCCAGTTTCAACAAACTTTCCTAGATTTTGATGCAACGAATACTTTTTTAATATTGACTATGTCGGGGATGAATCCGTTCTGGTCTACGTAGCCGAAACAAAAAGATGTCTGGTAATAAAATCTTTAGAAACAAGAGACATTGGTTTCCTTTTACACAATCTTCACAAGAATAATAATGTTCTAATGTCTATATATGCCGCAATAGAGGTCCAACCAAATAAGGATGTACACATGTCAGTTCTGGTTCTTTTTTCAAACCCTTGAATAGATTTAACAATAACATGTTGTGCTCTTTCTAACATTATTATTTCGATTTTTGTCAATTGCCAAAGCTCGCACCCGTATAAGGCGGATGGATAAGCTTTAATTTTGATAAACTTCGCCACTGTTAAGGGTTTGAGAGCACAAGGATGTGCACCGGAACGAATAACGGACATCGTACCCGATCTTTACTTATTACATCCACGTGTTGTTCTCTCAAAAGAGTTCTGTTTAGAGTTTAATAAAATACCAATATGTGTAATGCCGTCAGTCTGTGACATAATACAGTTGTAGAGATAAAGGTCTTTATACATAGTACAAGTTCTACTACTTCACTTTTAATAGATGGAAGCCATTTCGCCCGAACCTATAGTTGTGCTCACCTTCTACAATTTACCGTCACTTATAATTACACGTAGCTTGACAATGACACCAGTCGGTGTGGAAACGTAGCACAGTCTAATCTCGCTGTTTGTGTAAAGATAACACTATTTTGATATAAATAAGAAGCTTTTACATTGTGTTTTTGTTTCCGGAAATAATTTGCGCACACTACCGGTTTTGATCTACTGGGTTTGGATCGCTAAAGGACAGCGCGCCACTATATGCATATTATTGTGCATCTGACTCTTACTTTTCCGCATTAACCATCCAATACGGCCGCCGCTGCTCTGATTGGCCGAAATCATATCCAGTTAAACGTATCTGGAAAACCCCTACTAGGATGTAAATCACGTTATATTGACACATTTGGATTTATGGGACGTGTTCTTCACCGAATCAAGTATCCCCTTCAATGTTCTCCTTTCTGTGATAAGTACCTGGGTTCCCTACTGGTAAGTCGGTCGGACACTGACCATTCATTCGTTGAGCGTTGCATCAGTCGAGAACAATTTCATTCCGATATAACGTGTAGTGTAAATATGTATTTAACTAGGAGAGTTCTGTTGTTTTTTATTCCGATGGTGGTTTGTTTCCCATACGAAGATTGGACGCCGGATATTGGACCACCAAAAGACTTACTTTGTAACAAGAATTGTACCGATGACAGGTGTTGTAGCTGTTTTTCCAGACCAACATGGGAGCTAGGACTGGAGTCGCTGGGAAATGTATATGTAGAATACACCAGTTTAGGTAAAGCATCAGCTGAATTGATCTATTATCCAACCAACAGCACCTATAAGCGTTACCAAGCCATTTACACCGGTCAACGGTTGCGCTCCCTCCCCAGAAACATTTGTGATTTCAAAAATCTTGTGAAGATCGATTTCACCGACAATCTTATCGAAACGATTGATGAAATTCACTGCCTTAAGCAATTGGATACATTGATTTTGGCTGGGAATAAAATTAAGCGCATCTCAAATATGACGTTCATGGAAATGCCCGATTTACGCGTGCTAGATTTATCAAACAATAGCATGAAAAATTTGGACGCTAATGCGTTTACCGGAAATATGACGAATATATTCTACGTTGACTTTTCAAATAACGTTTTTGAAACTATTGATATTACAAATGTCATGAGAGAAAATCATCTTTTCTGCAAAATGAATTTTGAAAATGCTCTAAATGGGCATTTTACCAACACCAATAACATCACGATTGACTCGGATAAGCGCTACAATTCTGGAGATATTTCGTTCACAGGTTGTTCCATGGAAGAGGATATGTTCTCCTTTCTTTTAAAAAAGGATCCTCATCTGATACAGTACATACCATTAATGGTACCAACAGGTGTATATGATTTGCAAAATGTTACTCTAACTTGCGACTGTAACGTAGCACTATACCTGGAATCTAATTGGAAAGTTATAACCATGATTCCAACTATGAGCGGTCTCGCATGTTCAAATCAAGGTAACTCAACATTAGATATGAACGATCCGGAGACATACGACCGGATGATTTGTAATATTCGTATTAATTGTCCAAAATTTTGTACATGTATTGAGCAACCGACACAGTGGCGGATCATCGTGAACTGTTCGTTTACAGAGATGCAGCAAATGCCCATGGCACTTCCGGAAAGTGCCTTTTTAGTAGAACTTCTGATGGCAAATAATGACGTGCAACGTTTAGAACACAGAGTCTATATGCACAGACTTCGTATACTGGATTTATCAGACAACGGTGTGAACGCTATTGATAGCGAAGTGGGGAAATCTCTTGTCTCGTTATCAAAACTGGATTTGGACAAGCACAACCTAAAAGATCTACCGAAATCATTCCAGCTCTTAGATCCAAACCATGTACTCTTAGGAGATAATGGAATAGAATGTACGTGCAACAATACCTGGATAGGGGAGTGGCGTGAGAGAGGAACTGTACACTTTCTAAATCCGTTGTTCTGTGAAAACATTAGAAACGGAGACAGTAAGACGCTTGTGGAACTGGCTGGGCCATTCTTAGTGGACTGTGATAACTCCCACATAAATACAGTTTTAACAATTATATTGTCGACATGTCTGGGTTTAGCATTAATATCACTAACGGCAGCAGCTGTCGGATCTCTATTTCATCTTGAAATCAAACTTTTGCTGAGAAAATTTAGGAGAAAGATTGTAAAAGATGATGGATGTACATGCAAATATGACGTTTTCGTTTCTTTTGATGAAAATGATGATGATTCTCGAAGATTTGTTATGGACTATCTACTTAGAATATTACATAGTTCGAATTTCACAACTTTTGTACCCGGTAGGGATATGTCGGTTGGAAATCTTTGGGAAGAAGAGATCAAAGTTGCTGTACAACAATCGAGAACATTTTTATGTATTTTATCAGAAACCTACAGTAAAACAGAGTCAGTTTGGATGCGAATGGAGTTTAAGATAGCCTGGAAGAGTAACAAAGCTATCGAAATAATAAACATGGACAATGTAGGCACAGATGACGTAGGAATGAGTGAAATCAGGGCGTATTTACGACTCAAATGTTTCATATCCTTAACGACAAGACAAGACATATTTAAACAGCTGATCGACTATCTTGGAAAACCAATAAAGGATCTGAGTGACAGCCATCTTGATAAAAATAAGGAATGATCTCGTAATATTATATAGTTTCTAGCGTTCAAACGGAACTTGTATATGTGACGGCAACATAGCTGCCCATATATATATATATTGCCATACAAGTTCAATACAATTCAATATTTGTACACTATATCTATATAATATATGGATCTTGCTGCAATAAATGCAATTGTTAATACTAACAAACCAACATATACCCTATACATAATTCTGAGCACGTTAGTGTCGGTCCATGCGGTGGTTATAACATTTGTAGATTTTACAGGTAAGTTTAATGCATTTATCAATACAATATTTTCTAACGCCAGAAATTAATGTACAATAAAAATGAAACGCACCTCAGTTTTCTGAATGTGACTTTTTTTTTTATTAAGTGTTGATGCGCAATAATGTATGAAGGTACTTTTTACAGTGAACTGATTTTTTTAATTTGCTGATGTACTGTAACAATGGGGACAAAATATATTCATAAAAAAATAAAAAAAATCATATATATCCTCATAGATGTTACTGCAATGTGGATGTGACTCGAGAATTAATGCCGCAGAAAGCTCGTTTTCGGGCAGCACTTTACAAAATATATCATGAAAATATCACTCGTTAAATGGCAACAATAAAAAAACAAAGGAAACATTTAAATTGCAAGACTACAACTTAAATCTAGATTTTGTTCGATACATGGCCCAGTTGGATAAATCTGAATTGGTAAAAGAAGGGAAAGAAGAGTAATATTAAAAAATGACCCCGTATGTTTGTCTCTGGTATTTCTAAAGCCTGTGTTTTATATATTTTCACAATTTCAAAATTTAATCTGACAAACAAATAATTCTTTAGTTTTTCGTTCAATCAAACATAAGTCTCAACAGTTATTAATTTGTGAATTAACTGTGATCTGAGACACAGGGACCTGATAATTTGTTACAGCTGTTTTTGGACCTAAACTATAAGGTGTTCAGAGTCATTTACCTGCTTTAGGGATTTAGATCGACTTTCGGTAAAAATGACCCCCCAATGATCATGCTCCTATACATGATCATTGGGGGTGTTATTTTTACCGAAAGTCGATCTAAACCCCTAAAACAGGTAAAATTACTCTGAACACCTTAATTTAGGTTCAAATATAGCTGTAACAAACTATCAGGTCCCTGAGATCTCGTTTTTTCGGCATTTTACATTATCTATATATGTCAACACGATTATCTGTTATCAAATAAATTGTAGAAAATAAATCACAAAATGAAATATATTTTCGATTTCAGACTTCAACTGTAACGACGAAATTAACATTTCGTTAAGTTTCACTTTTGGTTTCTTAGATAATTCCCATGACATCACCTACATGTTGCTCATGACGTACCTGCTGGTTTCGTCTAGTCAATGGTATCATAATGCAAAACGAAAGTTCTGTTCTCGTGATCAAATTGGGAAACCCAAAATAAAGTAGGGTTTCTTCTTTCTTTCACGCGACATTTCGGGTGTTTGACCAGTAAGTACCATCATAACTATCGATACATGTGTTTGACAGGATGGTTACAGCACAAGGGTTCGTTACAAATGTCTGAAATACACATATGATTTACCGATATGGGTAACAGCACACATAAACATATACACAAGTGTATTGTGCCTGCGAACCATTCAGATACTGGCAGCCATTTACTGATAATATTACAAGATTTATGTATAAATTATATATACAAAGTGACAGTGTAGTCCTAACGTTGATGTATGTATATGTATACATTATGGGGGGCAAAGAAGTAATTCCAACAGTGCGGACACTGTTGAAACTACTTCTTTGCCCCATATAATATTTTAAGTAATTCGTATCCTACGGACATACCTCCAGTAGGATCCAGTGTTATATGTAGGATCCAGTGTTATATGTAGGATCCAGTGTTATATGTAGGATCCAGTGTTATATGTAGGATCCAGTGTTATATGTAGGATCCAGTGTTATATGTAGGATCCAGTGTTATATGTAGGATCCAGTGTTATATGTAGGATCCAGTGTTATATGTAGGATCCAGTGTTATATGTAGGATCCAGTGTTATATGTAGGATCCAGTGTTATATGTAGGATCCAGTGTTATATGTAGGATCCAGTGTTATATGTAGGATCCAGTGTTATATGTAGGATCCAGTGTTATATGTAGGATCCAGTGTTATATGTAGGATCCAGTGTTATATGTAGGATCCAGTGTTATATGTAGGATCCAGTGTTATATGTAGGATCCAGTGTTATATGTAGGATCCAGTGTTATATGTAGGATCCAGTGTTATATGTAGGATCCAGTGTTATATGTAGGATCCAGTGTTATATGTAGGATCCAGTGTTATATGTAGGATCCAGTGTTATATGTAGGATCCAGTGTTATATGTAGGATCCAGTGTTATATGTAGGATCCAGTGTTATATGTAGGATCCAGTGTTATATG